ACAATTTTTCGCATTGTCGCCCTTTTTGGCCAAGCAACCGGCGGCTACTTGGCCGCGCCCATTTCGTGTCCGAGCTGCGCCCACGGCTTGCATGCGAAATGATGTGCGACACAGATACTCACACTCGCATATACACAGATACGAAATCCGGCAGAAACCCGCCCCCGACCATTCCCGCCCAGGCAATATTTACTCTCAAAATATTATTCGCGCATATGGACTTGAGGACGTAATCCATAATTGGTTTGACCGCCTGCCATTTCACTCAATTAAGCGAAATATATTCCAAGGATTGTGCCAGACCCAAATTCGATTAATCAGAACGAGTGGGATTTTTTAATGCATACATATAGTACATATTTTTATTGGTTCGTGAAAAGTCTTGATTGTTTTTATTAAATATTCATGGCTGACATCATACCTGAATGTCAGGTGTGAAAAGAGCTGATATGAAACGAAAGGAATTTCCCTTAACGAGTGGCCTTTTCTGATTTATTCTTTGTTTAATCAATTAAAGATCATAAATTACTCTAATCGAAGTAATGCCCGGCTAAGCACCATCCAGGCATATTATTGATGGACCGCCAGTCGAACCCCTAAATCACTCGGCCTAATACTCCTCAAATTAGTCTGCCATTTGTCAGATAGGTATCCTCCACTCCCGCCCACTCCCACCGACTTCCACGGCACCCCCTCTCAAGTATCCGAATATGAATCATTCCGCCTAATGAATGTGTCTGTCACTTGCTGTCAACACGCGGCTGAAGAAGATTGCCCCCCAGACCACCGATCCATGCTCGTGCTTCCCCCTTAAGTCGGGGGCCCTTACTCCCAAATATGAAATGGAGCAGGCACCAGGAGGAGAAGGCCTCGAGAAATCGGTGCTGCTGGGCGCGCTATATTTAATACAGAGTGACATTAATGTCAGGCATAATTAGTCGGAGAGGAAGATGCCAGCGGAAAAGCAAAAAAAAATAGAAACAACAAAAAAAAATTTTGGGAAAAAGAAACAATCAAAAAACGATAAACGGGGCGAGCAGAATAGGCAACCAGAAATAATTTGACAGCCATCGGGTCTGGAGAATTAAGATATGTCGAGGATGAGGCCCGATCATCCGATGATGATCATTTTGTTATTGCAGCTTTCGATCCGCTTCCATTCGATTTGATTCATTTTTTTGGTACGTGTGTGAACCCGATGAACTGCGTGCCCTTTTGTTGCCAAATCGTAAACAAACAATTACCCAACAAAGCACCGTCGAATGGGCCAACGCAAAATATAGATACAGCATCTCCCTCCACATAAAAAAGAAACTAAGGCAGGAGTCGCATTAGACACCTTCCCAAAGAATAGACAGCTCGCACAATAGAAGGATGGCTACCCAAAACAAAAAAAAACTCTTGCACGGTGGCATCCACATCCATCCAACCATCCGTGCACCCAATTGTCTGTCCGATTTTTAATCCCGTCCTGCGGCTTCGGGTACATCCCAATACTCCGTTACAGTTGCGATTGCGATTCGGATGCGCTCGGATTGATCTCTGATCTCTTTGTAGCCGTAATCCCGCCCGAGGTCTACATGGTATATATATGGTAAATGGGGGTTCTGTTCTCGGTCCCCGGCAGCTAATTTATAAAAAACAGGCACAGCGCCCCAGGCTCGCAAAAAGTATCTTTTTTTCTATCTTTCTCGCTGTGTTGACGCTTTTTTCACACAGTAGAGCAGGCGCGTGGTAAATGTATATAGGGAGAATCGGATAAAAGATATAGCCGAGTATGTTTATATTGAAGGAAGAGCAGTAGTCGAGTAGCTATGGTCTTACAGTGGGTTATCTATAAATGGATTGGACTATTTTTCATCGAGGCACTTGTTCTGGTTGTGGTTTTCAAAATAAATTAAGATCTTTAGTGAAGTAATAAAGTATTAATTTAAATTTTAGTATATTTGAATTAAAACATATCTTCAATGTTTTAAAATAGAGCTACATTTATATTATATTTCTAGTATTATCCAATGTACTACAATATCTACATGTCCAAATACCATTAAACGAGTAATAACAATTGTTAGATAACTTTATGAGATAATAAAAATACACCTACCACTTTGATAAATCAGATTTTTTATTTGAAAGTGCTACAAGGTGTAAGATCTATATGGATAATACCCTAAAATCAAACACTTATTTTTATTATACACATAGTTGGCGATGACTACTATAATTTTATTGCCCTCCAATAAAAATGTCTGATATGGAAAGACTAAGAATTTTTTGAAGTTTGCACCCATTGTGCTTTCCGTGGGGCACTTGCAACGCAGCAGCAGGCTCCACTGTGCTGCCACAGTGGCAACCGCATAAACGGGCACCGGCGGCGGCGTCTGCCGTTTGGGGGCGGCAAAGATCAAAGGCCAGCCAGCGGTGCCTGCAAAACGGTTAAATCTTTTGAAATGTGCGCACTTTTTGACACCCAATTTGTTTAGAAGTGTGCGCGCCGGCAGGGTGAATGGGGGTGGTGTGGGGGCTGGAAAAGGGGGGCTTCTCAGGCAGTTCATAAAATCGCACCTACAGAAAAAAAAAATATATTCAAGTTTATAGATATATCATTTCTTGATCAACTTAATAATTTCAATCAAAGAGGTTACTGGATAAAAGTAATGTTATTATGGCTGAATAGTCTTTATATTTAAATAAAATGTTCTAGCTACGAGTATTTTTTTCGTGTGTACGGGTGGATATCAGTTTTCTAGAGTGGGAGGGAGCACATCAGTGGGAATTTCTGCGAATTTCATTAATAAAACTGTCGAAAGTGTTGGGCATCAAGTGTTTTCCCCTCCAATTTTCCCCCTTCAACAGGTGAAAACGGAACAATCAAACGAAACTTTTGATTTGGCATTTTTGTTTTAAATAAAAATTCAAAAGATTTACAGTTCTTCGAGTCAAGTAATTCCACTTAAAATTCTGGAAAGGCAGAAGCCCCATCCACCCCAGCTCCCACAGCTCCGCGGAGGTGTTATTGGGGCGAACGCGTGGGCAAACATATTATTCCACTACGTCTTCATTCATAAAAATGGGAAGCGAAGCAAACGCTTAATTAAGAATTTTTCCAAATAAAAACGCAAGCCTTGTGGAAAACGGGATAATAATAAGTTTATTGATTTGGGAAATGCCACAAACCGGATGTTTATACGCCGCAAACATCATCATCATCGGCAACAACCAGCATCGTTATGGAGGCGAATTGTACTGCTCGGTGGATCGGTGGCTCCGGTCGTCGTAAGCAACGTGTGAAATGTGCAGGGATTAGGGAAGGGCTCAGGAACCGGAAGGTACTGCTGTCCCGGGTCTCCCGAGTTTTCCCATCAGCGAAATCCTGGCCAGCAAGTTGGTAAGTCAATCCAGTGCTTAGCAAGTTAGGGAATTTCCCGTGGCCAATTCTCCGCCAAAGTCAAAACATGCGGCCTGTGTTCCTGCATTAAGTCCGGGAAAAGACCCAAAAACACTGAGACCGAGGGCTGGATTTATTTAGACAAAATGACTTTGCAAATGAGATTCGGTTGCAGCCCGTTCCTGACCACCTACCACCTAAAGTGTCAATATTATCATGGGCCGGGGATATTCGGACTCCTCCTGGCCTATGCAAACACCCGAGAGACTACCTGCCGGGTACGGTGTATGGGTAGGTGTGCATAGTTTCTGTTAATTTTCAACACCTCCGCCACTCGAATTTCCGACGTGACCTATGGCCCCGGGACTGGATTTGGACTTCAGCCTCAGATTCGGATGCGGTCCAGCTCCGGTGACTGTGTGAATGGGTGTCCAACCTGCCAAGTGCTGCATGTAGCTGTAATCGATGTGATTAGGCCGTGCCGTGTGGAACACTCGGTGCCTAACCCTTGGCCCCCATGGACGAGTAATCAATAATTCAAAATCGGCTGGCCGGGCAACTCGGTGACGTATTTGGACAGCTATTGACAGCCCAAGCAGGCCAAAAGGAAACTGCCCAACTTTGGAAATTCCATGGCTAAGTGAGTTCTAGATACTCTGCATTTTACCAAGTAAATTTTTTAAATTTATCCAAATCTAAAGAATATTTTTCTATTAAATGAAAATATAACTTACCTTTATAGATTATTTAAAATTAGCTTAGTTTTAGTTAATTATTTAAACAAATAGATTCTAATAATAAAAATTAAAATTATTCGCTATATTAGCCGTATTAGTATTAAAATATAACAAATCATATTCCATTTAAATACCCATAATTAACACACGACGAAAATAAAACCCCAACTGACACCATTGAGTCAATATACCCATCTTTCGAATGCAGGGAACCGACTCGTCTTGGGACAGAAATAACTGCATGACTTGGCGGAAAATGATTGTTGGACAGGCCCGGGGCGAGTTAGAGAAGGAAATGAGCTGCACTTAAATGCATGCGAGAAAACCACTCGATGCCAACAAGTGGATAAGAAGCCACCACACAAATGATGCCCAAACGAACTATCAATGTCAGTGAATTGGCAAAAAATTTAAACTCAATTTGTATGCAGGCCAGCAAAGACTCCGTTCTCCGGGCTTCGATCTCCCAACCACGAGGTCTGGCCACGAGGAAACCCTTTCAGAGCTGACACACCTCAACGAGTGCAGCTCAAGTGGGTCCACCGCATCCAGGTCTGCCGTGGCATTAATGTGCGAGTGTGTGCTCTGAACACCCAGTCAGATTGAAATTGGGATTCCGATTCGGATTGAGATCCGAGGTGGGGGAGGGGAGGGCGGAGAGGGCTGAAGGGTCAGCCCCTAAGCCGCTAAAGCATGCGTAACAAAGGCCAACACGAAATCTTAATGATCGCCAAGGCAAGGAGGAGTCGATGACCAGGCACATTTTCGAATACCCCAAAGAGCTGGCGAGTTCCATTCATTGATTCATTCAGCCCGGTCCCTAAATGAAGTGCTCTGCTCCAAGTGTTTTCAACGCACGCAGGATCGATCCGATATCGGTTTTCTTGTTTATTATTCCATTTTTCGTACATGTGTGAATGCTTTTCGTTTATGCCTTCTGCCACTGCCTATACCTCTTAAGCCTAAATACAATACAATGCGCTGGCAAATGAGTTTCGAAACATAATTAGAATTTGCAGCCAACAGTTATCAATATATCAATATACAGGGTGCGTAATAATTAAATTAGTAAATACATATAAAATATAAGGTAAGATAATTATAAAGCGAATATAACATGTGCACGTGTTGGTGAATACGTCCGGATACACGCATCAAACATTGCCGAGTTGCTCGAGTTTTAGCCAACAGTGGAATTAGATTTCGGAATTAAAGCCACAAATACGCCTACGATCCGAAGGAGGGTGGGGAGTTAGTTAGATTTTTTTGTTCGGGTCCTGCATGCGGCAACTCTTGTCTTTTCACAACAATTTACTATTTTGGTTTAAATTTGGATCGCGTTCTAATTCTTGAACTGAAAGACGAGTATCAAGATGACCACCAACAACACGGCACTCAGAATGCCCACTAGGATAAGCTTCTTCTTGCGCACTTTGTTCTGTAATATACAAGTATTATTACCCAAGCATTCGAGAGTTTACTTAATTAGTTGTTACTCACCCTATAAGAGCTCGCCTTGCGCAGGTTTTCCGTGCCCTGTGAAACGAAAATGCTTGTCTGCTCCACCTGCGACTCAATGGAGTCTACCGTCAGACCCTGCTCGTAAACCAGGGCTCCCAGCTTCTTATAGATCTCGTTGACTCCCACAATATTGTTTTCTAGTTCTCGAATAACCTGCTCCTGTTCCTCTAGCGCCTGCAGATCGACCTGCTCCTGCATTTGTGTCTGCATCTGCTGTTGCTGTTGGTTTGATTTTCGATTAAAGAAATTGTCCTCGAAGAAGGAGCCATTCTCCTGCTGGCTGGCACTGCTGTTGGAGCTGCCCGTGCGCGAGGAGCCTGGCGGGCGGGCAATATTGTAGCTGTCGCCCCGCGCCTGCCGCAAGGCACTCTTCTCTATGTCCGCAGTTTTGCGCTGGACGGCCTAAAAATAACGGCCGATAAACATTCAGGGGCGGATGAGTCAGTCGTTTGCTTATCTTCGAGAAGTTCACAAAAACAAACCTGGAACGCGGTGAGCGCCGCTGTAAACTCGTCGACCAATCGGTCCCGCTGGATCTTCAGGTGGCGCTCCTTGCACTTGTCCACCTCGTTGATTTGATTGTTTGTGTCGGTCACCAGTTGGTTGGTGTAGGTCATTAGTTGGTGGCTGTTTGAATAGAGGATTTTCATTATATTTGACTTTTGGGGATGGATGGGTGTATCTAAGGGTATTTCACGGACTAATTAAATAATTAGTACGGTGAAATTTGTAAGTGATATACAATTTTTGAAATGAGAAGTCAAACGTAGAGATAGCCGCCTACATAGTCATAGGAATGAGTGATTGGTTAAAAAACAGCAAAATCTTTGTCTTCGCTTGCGCATTTTAGCCTTTTTAAAGAAAGTTGACCAGTAATCAACGAAAGCAATAAAAGTGATTACATCTATGAAGTATATAACATAACATTTTATGAGAGTAAAATCAAGTCAAATGCAGATATGGCGTTTTAAATTCAGAAATGTGCAATGACAATATTCTATGTAGGGACAAAAATACAGGGACTTCGTTGCTTTGTTTCAAGTAAAAGCCCTTTAATAAATATCTTACAGCTGCTTTTTGAGCTCCGGAGAATCCTGGGGTGTGTTTAGTTGATTGACCATGCGCTGCATAGTAGAAACTACAAAAAACCAACAGCGATTAGTCATAGGGGAAAGTAGTGTTTGGAAGACACTCACCATTCTGCTGGACCTTCTGGATACTGGTGGCTATGATTTGAGCCAGCCTTTGGAATTCTATTTCGCTGATGCTACCGCCACCTCCCCCTCCGCTGAGGCCATTCTCCATATGCTGTAAATCCATGCTTTCGTAGGCAGACACCTTGCTGACCTTGAGGTATTCCCTGGTAGAAGAAACGGCTTTCTTTTTCCTGGAAAAGTATGTGTTTGCAATTTAATTAGTTGTATTTGCTGTGTTCACTTATATCACTTAAATATGCGTCTCAGCAGGTTCTGTTTGTGGGTTTGTGTGTTCGTACGATGTTTGCCTTGTCTCAGTGTTTGTCTTTGTTTGGCCACCCCACCACCACCCACCTTTCTCTTGCCCTTGCGCTGTGAGTGACCTTCGCTGACTATCTTCTTAGAGCATCTCACATGCACATTTTCGCAAAGCACTTCTTTAATTTGTTAATTGATCGCCAACAAAATTTGCAATTCCAATTGGATCACTATTCTTTTTTTTAACAATATTTAAAACAGTGTGACCGGACTGCAGTGTGCGGAAAACCCTCAATGTGCAGCGCCATCCTTGGTCAAAATTGGAACCTCACAACACAAACTATCGTATGGGTTATCGACTGGTTATCGAGGCTATAGCGCGGTATAACAATTTTTTTAAAGGTAATAATATTTATTTAATAAGTAGTATTTAATAATTATTTTTGACATAATTATATATTTGACTAATAAACAAACAAGGGGGCATTATTTTATAGGGATCTTTGTTAAACAGTAATTCTTCCAAAATTTTCCACCAACTATCTTTTTTTTTAAGTTTTCAGAGAAGGTGTAACGATGTACACTTATTTATGTCGAATTGAAATTTTATGGTTTAAAGACGGTTACATCGGAGGATTTTGACTTTTTTCGCAACAAATATTTTTCCCTTAAAAGATTCTTGGGAAAAATTTTTGTTTCTTTTCTATTGCTAACATACGCTTTTTAAAAATACTCCTTTTCAATAAGTTTTTACACAACTATTGAATTATTTTTTCCATAATCACTATAAGCGCCCCTAAATATTTATTAACTTAATTTCCTAATAAAAGGGAAAAATTGTATATAAAGATATTTATTATATTACTGTACAGTATACATAGTTTCCTAAAAATCAAAATTATTTCACGGAACTGTATAATTTTAAACCAGAAACATATTGCTCTGGAAAAATGGAACAAAAACGATTTGAAACCCGTTTTTAAAACAACAAATTACACTTTCAGTACAAATATTAAAAAATTCAACAAACAAAACAATTCAGAATAAAAGTAAATGCAGTTTGTGGCAGATCAGTATCCGGTATTTTTATTAGAAATTAATAATTAATGAGGGTCAATGCACTCCCTCAAATGGGAATAAATGAGATATAAGAAATGTTTGGGAATTCAAATATATTTTTAATTATGTCCCAGCATCTTCTAATTACTTCACCACTGGGATTTCAGATCTTAACTTATGCAAATGACCGTTGCAACAAACCTGATTTGAAAACTTATATATGCATTTCATTTAAATAAGGGCAGTAAAACAGGCCTTCCCAGTTTGTTCAGAAGCTTTCTAATACAGCAAGTTTTTATTTATTGTCTTGACGATTTGGTAATGCGTCTCGAGTTTTGGGGCTAATATTCGGGGATCGTATAAATAAGCATCCAGTACCCAAGTGAGACTTAGTCCGTCCGTAGACCTCGTAACGGAGCCCTCGCTCGATCACTTGAAAGTTGAATTTTTTGTCGCCAACTTCATCGGCATTCTGCCCGCACTCGCTTATAACAATGGATACTCTCCGGTTCTGGCTGGTACTTGCCCTCCAGCTTACGGTGTCCCACAGCCAGTATAGATACGGGCCAGGTGCGTGACGACATCAAGATCGAGTTAAAGATCGGGCTCGAAGAGTGAGAGTGCGGCCGAAAGCAAACACAAAACATATGCAGAACTGATTAATCAAGTGCTAAACAGAATTTTAACTTAATAAATTAAATTAAATATTTGACACGCGGGCTGTTTTCTGCCAAACAACTTAACTCTTGAGCCAATTCAAAATTTAAATGGATGAATTTAAAAAAAAGAACCATTAATGTAATTTTCGAGAAAAACGAGAAAATACTGTTTAAAATTCCCACTGGGTTCCAACTTTTGTTGATAAAACTAAAGCCCATTGTTAAAAGGCTTTCTTAATGAAATTTCACCTTTGAACAATTAAATCGAAAGTTCAAAGAAAATAAGACAGATGTGCTCAGAATTGATTAATTCTCGGGGTTGTGCCTTAAAGGTCTTTCATTTTAAAGTTTACACATTTTTACCGAATTTATAAATAAAGAAATAATTAAAATAATTTGAGCATTCAAGTTATTAAACGAAGTTTATATATTTTAGAAAAATCCTGGGACCTTCAGTCCATCTCTGAGCTTAAGAGCAAGGAGTTTTGGTTCCACGACGCCCAGCGCACCCTTTATGAAAAGTTGTCCACACCTCCGAACCAGTACCGGGCTAAAAATGTGATATTCTTCCTGGGCGATGGAATGTCCGTGCCTACGGTTACGGCGGGAAGAATTTTCGATGGCCAACTAAGAGGAGTGGTGGGGGAACGGAATCGTCTCGAGTTTGAAAAGTTTAACTACGTGGGTCTCTCCAAGGTATTAAAATAATAAACATAACTATTTTCTAAATGACGTATTCAAGAATTAAAATATTAAGATGCTAATTTTCTTCTCATTTAATTTCTTTAACAAACGTGATAATTACTATATTAATTAAACCTCATTTCAGACCTATTGCGTCAACAAGCAAGTCGCTGACTCGGCGTGTACCGCCTCCGCCTACTTATCCGGGATCAAGGCCAACTATCTGACCATAGGTGTTACTCCGGATGTGGAGTTGAACGATTGTGCCGGCGCTAGGTTGGCCAAAAACCGACTCTCCTCGATCGCAGCTTGGGCTTTAAAGGGTGGCAAGTCCGCTGGCCTGGTAACCACCACTCGGGTCACCCATGCAAGTCCGGCCGGGGTCTATGCCCACACCTCGAATCGCGACTTCGAAAGTGACTACGACGTGAGCAAACTAGGTCAGAATCCTGGCGGTTGCCCCGACATTGCCAAACAGTTGATCGACGGAGAGGTGGGACAGCGACTCCGGGTGGTGATGGGTGGTGGCACCATTAAATTCCTGCCCAACACCACGACGGATGTGTATGGAAACAAGGGACAGCGACTGGATGGAAGGAATCTGATTGACGAGTGGCAGCAAAGCAAGCCGGGGAATGCCAGGGTGCTTTTCAATCGTACGGACCTCCTGAACAACGACGCCCAGACCACAGATTACCTGTTCGGTCTCTTCAACGCCTCCCATTTGGCCTATCACCTAGACGATAGCGTGGACACACCCACTTTGGCCGAAATGACAGAGGCGGCCCTCAACGTCCTTTCCCGCGATCCTGCCGGATATTTCCTGTTTGTGGAAGGCGGTCGTATCGACCACGCCCACCACGAGACGAAAGCCAAAAAGGCGCTCGATGAAACCGTACAGTTTTCAGAGGCAGTTCGCATGGCGCGCGAGCTGACAAATCCCTGGGAGACGCTCATAGTGGTCAGCGCTGACCATGGGCATACGGTGTCCATAAGCGGGTATCCGGACGTCAACAACAGTATTGTGGGCCTGAACACAGAGCTCAGCAATGTGGACCAATTGCCCTACACGGCAATCTCATATGCGAATGGGCCCGACTACCAGAAGTTCTACCAGGTGAGTGATGGTGAAGTGGAGCGCGTGGATCTCCGGACCCTGGACTTTGGAGATCGAAATGCCATTTACCCACACGGAGTGCCCATGACCGAAGAGACTCATGGAGGTGGCGATGTAGCTGTTTATGCGCACGGTAAGGCCGAATTTAATTAAAATTTAACATGAAAATTTAAATTTACTTTTCAAATTGAAGGCCCTTGGTCACATCTCTTTACTGGAGTTTACGAACAGAGCACCTTGCCATACATGATGGGCTTTGCATCCTGTCTGGGTCCTGGCATTACCTACTGTGATCTGAAACCCAAGGCACATTACACTCCATAGTTAGCTTACATATTAATTAAATTAATTTAGCTTAATGAAATGCAATAAATAAATATTTTATAAAACAAGTATTATTTTTTAAAAAAAAGTTGAAAAATATTATAAAAAAGGTAAAACAAGGGAATAATTTAAAAATTTTAAAGGTATAATACCGTTAATATAAAATTTAAAATATTTAAAATATCTATAGCTGTAAAATCCAAAATTTTAAATAATTCAGAAAGTAAAATTAGACAGTCAATTTTTTTTAAATGTTAATTTTATATTCGAACCGGTATAGCACATACCAACCGCTAATTTAGTGACAATTTTACTGTAAAATTGAGGTATATATCGATATTTTGACACCAATCTAAAATATTCGATACCCATTTATTTTTGTGGGAGAAATATCGATACTTCGATACTACTACCCTACTCTGCGCCATTTTATCTGAAAATTTTTTCGCAAGACTCAGATTAAAGTTGTTTGCGCGGATTAAGAATGTAAATAATTGAAAATTGTGCATACGGACGAGGCAAACCAAAAGCAATTAATCTGTTAATTGCAGCGGGCGAGTGCCTAAATTGGTAGATTAGGAGAAGCGCGCCGGTTGTCGGCGACTGTACGAGGCGCGTGTGGGAGTGCGACAAAGACGAAGCGATTGCCAGGGTATCTGTGTGTGTGCGAAAGTGGAAAAGTTTTAAAATATTAGTTTTACTTGAAAGCGGTATAATTGTTTGCGGCTCATCATGGCCGACGTGGTCTTGGACTTGTACGCCGAGGACCTGGACAAGGACTTTGCCGGCCAGGCTCAGGTAAGGACGAGGAGGGACTCGCTCCAATGCGGCTTGCTTGCGCTTGTGTATGTATACACCAGGGTGGGCCGGTGTGTGGGCAAATATGTTATGCTAGGGGGTAGGAAATCCAAGTAGCATTTTCGGAGGATTTCCTTTAAGATTTAGCAGTGCGTGTCGGAAACTGCATAACCGCCATCTGGACATCTGGAACTGTATGTGTTGGCGGCAAAACGAGTTCGGCCTATGCTTTCGTGAAATATTCAAATTTTTCGAGTTCCACGAGCTAAGCTCCACGTGTAGACTAACAACGTTTACTAACTGTGTAAATATTTTGGTTTCGGCAGGACGAATTTGGCGGCGATGGCGTCGACTTGTACGATGACATAGGCGGTCCCACGGAGGCAGCCGCTGCAGGAGGTGGGGGTGGCGGTACGCCTTCAACGGACGGAGCTGCCGGACCCGGCGCGGGAGAATCGGCTGCAGGCGGAACAGGCGGTCCTAATGGAGTGTACCACCAGACCGGCGGTAACCTCACTCCGACCATGAACCGCCGCTACCAGTTATACGTGGGAAACCTCACCTGGTGGACCACAGATCAGGATATAGCGAATGCTCTGCGCGACATCGGCGTTAATGACCTACAGGAGGTGAAGTTCTTCGAGAACCGGGCCAATGGCCAATCAAAGGGATTCAGTGTCATCTCGCTAGGATCGGAGTCCAGTCTTCGCTCGGTTTTGGACCAACTGCCCAAGGTGGAGATGCACGGCCAGGCGCCAGTGGTCACGTATCCCAGCAAGCAGGCGTTAACCCAGTTCGAGAGTCTGCAAAAGACGCGCCCCGTGCCGCCGCCGCAGCAGAATGGACCGCCCAGGGGTCCCGCTCCACCCAACATGAGCGGTGGCCCCATGGCCTCGCATCCGGGAGGACCTCAGGGCGGTGGGCCGCCGGGACATCCGCCAAGGAACATGCAACCCATCATGCAGCCGGGCCAGTACCGGCCCCAGCACATGTCGCAAGTGCCCCAGGTGGGTGGTCCCAATTCGGGGCCGCCGCGCATGCAGGTGTGTATCCGCTCCATCATACTAATAGCAATCGATCCTTGCGAGCCCCAGTTTATCTTGATCGTCACCCCCACCACTATTATTATTTTCCTTCCATTAAAATTGTTCTGAATGCAAAATTTGATAATTTTTATTTTGTAAAGGCACGTTTCCTCCTTAAACTGGCCTTAAGTATGTAACCTTAGAACATTGACTGTACGATTAAGCTACCTGTGAAGGCCTCTTAATTTTTACCCACACATCTCTGAAGTGCATTGTTTCATAAAATTAGAATTTAGTAGATCGTTGCTTGGTTACTTTCCACCACATCCCTCGTACAAACTAAGTCGCTGAGGTTGTTGTTGTTTATGATTTTAAGTACTACTCCTAATGTTCCTTTGGCTTATTTACGAGTAATTTCAGAGCAATTTTTGTAGATCTTCTCGGCCCGAAACATTGTGTACTCCTTATATCCCCTATTGTACCTATCATTAGACCTTAGTTTTAGAGCCAAGAAGGGGTCGCATCCTTCCTGGTCCGGAGACATTAGGCTATAGCTTTAAGCTACTTTGTAATTGCATATATTACGCGATACTGTTTAACGCGATAATTGTATAATAATTGTTATATAAAATGTTTATGTATTACGCTTATATTTATGTTCTATTCCATGTCTATGACAACGCTTACGCACACTTCTACCCCACAACAACAACAACAACTACTACTCAACTACTGATACATCATAATCGTAATACGTATTAATATAGCCGCCGATGCATCCGCAAGGCGGGCTTATGGGCAACCAACAGCCACCCCCTCGGTATCCGTCAGCACAAGGCCAATGGCCGGGTCAGAGGCCAGGTGGACCGCGACCCGGTCCGCCCAACGGACCGCCGCAGCGCCCAATGGTAACAAACCCCCATGTGCCCTTTACTTTATATTGCATTCTGTCTATAATAAAGATCTAACCAGCGAGAAAAACAACAAAAAAGCAGAGAGAAATCGAGACTAACCGAACTTAAGTTAACCCTAGTTAACTTAGCATTAAGCGATGTATTCAGAACATTTAAATTAAAGAACCACCACAGCTCAACCCATGAAAACACCTACTCATCCTAGACCTCACGTGTAAGCCGTTAGAGGAAGTGACTAATCCGCATGGTTTTTCCTTGCAGTTCCAAGGAGCACCCATGGGTATGCCGGTTAGGGGTCCACCGGGACCCGACTGGCGCCGTCCACCCATGCACGGCGGTTTCCCGCCGCAGGGTCCACCACGAGGTCTTCCACCAGCACCTGGTCCCGGAGGACCGCACGGTGCACCTGCCCCGCACGTTAATCCGGCCTTCTTCAACCAACCTGGCGGACCCGCTCAGCATCCGGGTATGGGCGGACCGCCTCATGGCGCACCCGGCCCGCAACCCGGTATGGCCATGCCTCCCCAACAAGGCATGAACATGCCGCCGCAGCACGGGCCACCACCGCAGTTTGCCCAGCATGGACCTCGTGGTCCGTGGCCACCACAGCAGGGCAAGCCTCCGGGCCCCTTTCCCGATCCGCAGCAAATGGGTCCCCAGCTAACCGAGGTGGAGTTTGAGGAGGTGATGAGTAGAAATCGCACAGTCAGCAGTTCGGCGATTGCCAGGTGAGCCACATTAATTACTACTCCTTCTTTAAAGCTTAATTCATTGGGTCACCCTTTAATACACGTCCAATACAATTCCAGAGCTGTTTCCGACGCGGCCGCCGGCGAATATTCGAGCGCCATCGAGACCCTGGTCACGGCGATTTCGTTAATAAAACAGTCCAAGGTTGCACATGACGAGCGCTGCAAGATACTAATCAGCTCGCTCCAGGACACTCTGCACGGCATCGAAGCCAAGAGCTACAATAGGCGCGAAAGGTCGCGGTCAAGGGAGCGGTCGCATCGCAGCCGCCAGCGTCGAGAACGCTCCACCTCCCGGTACCGCGAACGGTCTCGCGACCGGGAGCGCGAACGTGAACGCGAGCGTGAGCGGGATGGCGGGTAAGCTCATGAATTGAATGGTTCCTTACCATAACTATAAACATTATATTTGCACAGATATCGGGAGCGTTCGCGCAGTAGAGAACGAGAGCGCCAGGCACAAGACCACTACAGGGATGACAGGTAAGCCTAATACAAAAAAAAAACCAACTAATACGATGTCATATATAAATGAACTCCCAACAGTCGCTCTGCACGTCCTCGAAAGTCGCCAGAGCCCGTAGTGGCCGAGGGCGCGGAGCCACCGTCATCAAAGCGCTATTATGAGGACCGTGAGCGCTATCGATCCTCGGACCGGGAACGGCGCGATCGTGATCGGGACCGTGAGCGCGAGCGTGAACGGGACCGGGATAGGCGTGAGGAGCACCGCTCCCGGCATTGACTGCCCTTAGGAGGAGGAGGTGTAGAAGCGCCACTGGACCGGTAATCGAAGCAGAAGCCGAAATGAAAGTAAAATGCAACAGAGATATACTACACACACTTTATTAACAAATAAGCCACAGCTTGATGGGGTCGCGAATTATCCCCAGATTAACAAATTTTCGATTTGTATCTAACATTACCAATACGTAGGATATGAATATGGCATACAGCATACAGCATAGTTCTCCTAGACATACTAAAATAAGCCGAAATGCTGACAAGTCCACAGTCGACGGATACACGGTCGCTGCTTCAACTCCAACTCCTTGACTCATCATCCCAGCAGCTAAACCTCGAGAAGACCAAAGGCATCCGGAGCAAGCGATTGGGATGGACTAGAGGAGGCGATGGCTGTCGGCGTGGGACATTTTCGACACAGATGGGCACTGGGCCATCAACCAATAGATAACTACCAATCCTGCACCGCCGTCTTCGCAGCAGAATTTCAATATTATTGTACTTTAATATTTCGGTTTATTTAATAAAAAATAACGTATGAAAAAGAATTGTTCGAAAAAAAAAAACAAAAGAAAAACAAATTCTACCAAAACTGTCTTGTATTGTGTGTCTTATTGTACTCTACTATAAAAACAAACAAAATCTTATTAGTTAATGAATTTATAATTGTACAAAAAATTGTATGTAAAAATTGAACAAAAAACAAACCAATTTACTGCGGTGTGCAGTTAATATTGAAATTGTTATATTAACAAAGTCAGTACGCCGCCTGAGGCCGAAAACCGATAGCCCTAATGTATTTTCAAAGATCGAGACTCTTTTGTTGTAAACATTCTTCATGCATTTGTTTAAACTTGTTTTTATTTACCATTTATAATTAAGCCAATCATGTGTGTGAGTGTGCCTGCGTGAGTGAATTGTAGAATTAAATGCCGACTGATCCCATCCAAATGGAGGGAAAATAATTATATAGAATAAGTGGTATGTGTGAGTTTTTGCCCGAACATTACCAATTTTATATCTAATTAAGGACAAGTCCTGATCGCATTTTATCGTAGAATACTCGACTAATGCTCACGCTTTTATGTAGTTCCTAATATAGGCTTGAACAAAATAGTGTTCCAGTTTGTCTCGAGATGCTGTACTGCTCGGGGAGTCATTTTACATGAACTTTTCTGCCAAACACCCTATTGTATCATCTACATTTTAATTTTTTAAATTTTAGCTTTACTTTTTATTTGTACATACTTGTAAACAAAATTCGACTAAGATCTTGTCGCACTAACCCAGTATTACAATTACACCTTTGTAAAAGCAATCTCCGACTTGAAAGTGTACCTGTAACTCTCTCGAAAATGAGATTCTAGGGGTTTAACGAGTAATGTGAGCTAATTTGTAGAAACTGTGATCCTACATTGAATTTATACAAATGAAACAGTCTGTTAAGCCAAACTAAAGCAGGTAATGTTATCGTAATCCAATGAGACTAATAATAGTTGATACTAGTTTTTTTGAGGCAACTGGATCTCAGCATCAGCTCTTAAGGCCTCCGATATCTTACGTTTAACAAATAAACCCTTGCACTATGTCTTTAGAAAGTAAATCCATTTAGTTGTATGGATTAGCCCCAAAAGGCAATGCGAATAAAAAATCAATATTCTTGTTAGATGGCTTTGAACTTCGATCCTTTTAAAATTTTGAAAGCGCGCGCAAGTCATATTTCTTTACATATCAAGAACATATCTGGAAGATTCCAATCGATTCGTAAGTTATGCAACACTGGTGATGGCTCTTATCAGGTAATAACGCTTATCAGCAGTGCTGACGGGAAATAGTAATTTCATTTAATAATAAAAAATACAAACATATGAAAATAAGCTAAGAAAAAAATATTTTTTCAAGAGATAAATTATTTTTGATTAAAGTATTATTATAGTTCTTTCAACGGTGAATTTGTGTAGTTTTAAAATGGTTTAGCGGAAAAATGCTAAGGTGACTTGCACTGGTCCTAAAAAAAAAAGCCGTTACCCAACACCGACACCTGACTTTTTTCATAAGAAAATTCGTGAAATACACAAAAGAAAACAGAAAAGTGGAAAATAAAGAACAAAGCTCAAGTAGGCGCTGCGAACTAAACAGTCAGTTACTAAATATCCCAAAAACAGTCGCATTCACTCCTCCGTTTGAATAACAAAATTAAATAGCACCAGAGAGAAAAATATTAAAAGCAAGTGTGAAATAAATAAAGACCAAAAATGGCAGAGACGGCCCAAAACCTTCAGGATCGATTCAATACCTTTATGAATGGGCTAGGCGACCGCTAGTGAGTATGAAAACTGTGCGACGCGAATGCGTCACATTTCTGGGACCACTGACGTGTTGTTTTGGTGGCGAACCACATCAACAGTTGGTTACGGATCGATAGTCCTTGAACCTAATGGATTTCTCCTCCCCACCCCTCTTATTTCCAGTGAGCCCTATGTGCGGGAGCACCTGTCCAAGGTGTACATGGTCCTCGCTAGCACTGCTGCTGCCACGGCTGTGGGAGCCTTACTCCAGATGCGCGAACTGCTCGATCTGGGCGTGCTGGCGGCAGTGGCCACCCTAATCCTGGTCTTGGGTCTACACTTCTACAAGGATGATGGCAAAAACTATACCACACGCCTAAGCATGCTTTATGCCTTTGGGTTCTGCTCCGGCCAGACCCTGGGTCCGCTCCTCGGCTATATTTGCAGCATTAACCCGGCCATCATACTCACGGCCCTCACAGGCACATTCGTTACCTTCATAACGCTCTCCCTCGCTGCCCTTCTGGCTGAGCAGGGCAAGTACCTCTACTTGGGCGGGATGCTGGTCAGCGTTATAAACACCATGGCCCTTTTGAGTCTCTTCAACATGATCTTCAAGTCGTACTTTGTGCAAGTGGTGAGTGCTTTAGACATTATTATTAAGCTTTTCTTTAACACGTAAGCTAACCGTCTATAGAGGTCATTGGTATTAGGTAATTCCAAGTTTTAGATGTGTATATATAGAAGATATATACATTAACTTTAGCTTTTACATGCATGATTCGAGAAATATTGGTAGTATATGTAGTCATAGCTCTTAATAATATAAATTTTGTTTACACATTTCTGTAAATTTAAAGAAATCAACACGTTATTTTTAAGGTATTAGCTAGGAAGCGCAAGTATATCATAGCTTAAGATACTATCCATGCCTTACCGATACAAGCACTATCAGTATGCAAATAATTGTTCCTCATTTTAATGGGTAATCTAATCACTTTTGCCTCATCCACAGACTCAACTCTATGTGGGAGTTTTCGTGATGGCCGCCTTTATTGTTTACGACACCCAAAACATTGTGATGAAGTGCCGAAATGGAAATCGCGATGTTGTCCAGCACGCCCTTGACCTTTTCTTCGACGTTCTCAGCATGTTCCGTCGTTTGCTGATTATCCTGACTCAAAAGGTAGGTTCCCCGGTTCCTTAAACCTGATCGATCGGTTTCTATAGCGTGCCAGTCACAGCTCAAGTCCTTCATGGTTTGAACCTATTTGTGGCGAAGCGAGATCCGATAATCGCCGAACAGTCGCTGAACACTTTGCAAATGTTTTCCAAAACTAGCTAAATAAGATCAAACGGTAGTTTTTACGGCCAAGGCAATAAGTATACTTTCACAAATTCCAGTTAGGATCCTTTTTCTTGTAATCCACTTGTGGGAAGTATATTTATTTCCGGTAGTATCTCTGAAAAAAAGAAACATGCAAAGTTTTCTGGCAACTTGTGAAACTATATTTGTGACCTTTGCTCGTTTGGACGGGGGAAACGCATTAATCAATTTCCCTAATTACTTTCAGGAGGAGCGGAAACAGTCCGAACGTCGCAAGAGGAACTAAGCCAAGTTTATAAAATTACCATGCAGTGAAGACACTTTAATGAAACCATAGAGGACTTTGGAAGCTGGCAATTTCTCCTTTTATCAATTTATTCGAATGAAGAATAAAACATAGCCGTGTATATTTGGCTTTAAATTTATATGAAACGACGTTCACTGTAAAACCACTTAGAAATTCCCAATTTAATAAAACCCACTAAAAAAAGAAACTCATCCGCGTTATTGTTGTAAATGAACTTGGCGCCGTAGATTAACCATGTTGATTGTATCGATTGGGCAACCGGACAATTTAATTAGACTAAGTGCACTCTGCAGGTGGAGCTGATTACCATAAGTTGGTCATTCGCAGTTTTGGTTTCTCTCGGACAACATGCCACCATCGGAGCCGGAAGTTCAACCCTTGTTGCAAGAGTTCCAGCAGTTGTTTTTTATTTCAAAGATCGTCGGTATCCTGCCGCAGGACTTGGAGAAGTTTCGCTCACGAAATGTACTGGAGAAGTCCCGAAGTGGAATGGTCTATATGATGGCCACTTTAGTGGTCTATGTGCTGTTCTACAACCTATTGATTTACTCCTTCGGGGAGGAGGACCGCTCGCTCAAGGCCACACAAAGTCAGTAGAGCATTAAAAATAATATTGTGGATATCTTATTAACCTTGATATGCTTCTTAAATGCCAGGCACCTTGACCTTTGTGATTGGCTTGTTTCTAACCTACATTGGCTTGATAATGATGGGCACCGACCAGTTGACGGCTCTCCGAAATCAGGGAAAACTGGGCGAGCTGTACGAGCGCATCCGGCTGGCGGACGAACGGCTGTTCAAGGAGAGGTGTGTGCTGGACAATAGCTGCATTGGCCACCGCATCCGGGTTATGCTGATCATGACGGTTCTCTTTGAACTATCCATTTTGGTGGCCACTTACATCAAGCTTGTGGACTACACCCAGTGGATGTCCGTGCTTTGGGTGATGTCGGCCGTTCCCACTTTTATCAATACTTTGGATAAGATCTGGTTTGCTGTTTCATTATATGCCCTTAAGGAGCGCTTTGAAGCAATCAATGCCACACTCGAAGAATTGGTGATGGCTCACGAAAAGTTCAAAATCTGGCTAAGAGGAGAATCGAATAACACTCCGTCCTTGGATAGCTCGCAGCCACCACAGTATGACAGCAATTTGGAGTATCTGTACAAGGAACTCGGCGGCTTGGACTTGGGCTCCGTGGGGAAGGGTTCTGGGATTGGATCTGGTAAAAACAAGGTGGCACCCGTGGCCCATTCCATGAACTCCTTTGGGGAGTCTATCGAGACAGCCTCGGACAAATACCCAAGAAACCATATGGCATCCAACATGGTTCACGAAAGTGAGTTGGCAAACGTTTCGAAGGTGGAGGAAAAGCTGAACAACCTATGCCAGGTGCACGATGAGATCTGCGAAATAGGCAAGGCCATGAATGAGCTATGGAGCTATCCCATCCTATCCCTGATGGCCTACGGGTTTCTTATCTTTACGGCGCAACTATATTTCCTTTACTGCGCTACCCAAACTCAACCGATTCCTTCGCTATTTCGCTCGGCCAAGAATCCTTTCATTACAGTGATCGTGTTGAGTTATACGTCCGGAAAGTGTGTTTATCTTATATATTTAAGTTGGAAAACCTCGCTGGCCTCGAAACGGACTGGAATCAGCTTGCACAAATGCGGCGTAGTGGCTGATGATAATCTTCTTTATGAAATCGTAAACCATCTTTCACTAAAGTTGCTAAATCATTCGGTGGACTTCTCAGCATGCGGCTTTTTTACCCTTGATATGGAGACCCTTTATGGTGTTAGTGGCGGAATCACCAGCTACTTAATTATACTGATTCAGTTTAATTTGGCAGCACAGCAGGCTAAGGAGGCCATCCAGACGTTCAGCTCACTGAACGACACCGCTGTTTTGGTGGGCTCAGTCACGGAAATGGATAATGGTAGCTCAACGCTGCACGATCTGGTCTCCACCACCATGCTCACACCTACGACTGGATAGGGATACAGCCTTTTCGCAGAGCTTTTGTTGAAAACGACATTTCACAGCACCGTCTGCACATTTATCTCGTATCTGGCACCTAATAAAGTCATCACAACGCAGTCAGTCGTTTGTATTCCTTACGGGCGTCCTCCAATTCATTTAGGATATCAGCGAAGACGGTATTGGCCCCATCGTAATCAAGGACAGCCGCACAGGCGATCTGGGCCCTCTTCTGAAGGGCATATGAAAACTCCCGTCTCAACAACGAGAAACAGTAGGGGACGTTGTGCTGCTGGCATTGGAATTTTAGACCCTCTATTAACTCATCTATGCCATCTAGAAAGAGAAGTTGTTAGTAAGCCTTGGTAATGATACTAAAGAGCCACGCACTTTCCCCAGGACACTTCTCACAATCAGTTGCCAGGAGTAACAACTTCACTTTTTTTATCCTCAGCTTTGCTAGTGCTTCATTGAAACCCAGCACCAGCCTAGGATGGGCACGCGCCTTTACTTCATTTTTTGCAAATGCGCGTTTTTGAAAACGATCTAGTTCCTTGAGCAACTGAATAGTCAGATCCTTAAGCCGAGGCCGAGTGCAGTTATCACAATAGCTGAAATGGCCAGAATTTTTTAATTTGGAAGGATAAGTTAAGATGTACAACCGACCTTCTGAAGCGTCGGGAATGTATGGAATGCACGGCTTGGATTTGTGGAGTAATTCCCATAGTATCCTTATCTTTTAAAGAGAGGTTTTGTAATTGGTTCTCCATTAGGTCTTTAGAGTCTTGTTCTGACTGTCCATACTCTCGAGTCTCATTCGATATTCCCTCGGTTTCCTCAGCTGGCGTTTCCTTTTTCGAGGCGCGATAACACCAAATAGACTTCTTCAACTTGGTAACCTTTTTTTTTGGATTCAGGCGCACCTTTCCCTTGCGCTTGGGCTTGGTTCGAAGGAGGCTTCTCTTGGCAATCGTCAAATGTGGCCCTCTGAGTTTCCTCGCCTTTGTTTGTTTTTGTGGCTGACGAGGTTTGATCACAAAATCCAGGAGTGTCGGCTTCTCTGCATTCCTGTGCTTTTTCCTGTACTTTGAGCTGGTGGGACTCCTCTTGCTTGATGAAGCATTGTCCTTGTTATGGATGTTCTCGTAGGTTTTATGATCGATAATGGCTATCTTTTCAGATTGGCGAGCCATCATTATTTCATTCAGTTTTCCAAGAACCAAATAAAAATACCACAACAATAAGTGAAATCTGCCAGAGTGACCACACTTTTGTATAATAAAATTATAAAAAATGTCCTAATTTTGGAAGAAATTAGGATCAGCAGCTTTAATGAAAAGCTGCATTAAAAGTCATGACAAATTGGCATTAAATAGGGGAAGCCCCACATTTTACCGACGTTGTTTCGCTATAATCATGAGCTTCACAAAGAATCTATATACGATTTTGGAGAAATTCAACTTATCCGACAATGATCGTAGAGCTTACACTGATGACGCTGTAGAAATTCAGAACTGTGTCATTGAAAAACTGAAAAGCGCCGATGCTACTTTTTGCCAAATTTTCGATGGTCTCAGTTTGTTTGGTAAGTTTTAAATAGAAAACTTGAACATATTTAACAAATATTGATTTCTAGGAAGCTACCTGGATCGGGTCAAACTGGTAACTCCCGACGAATTTGACCTACTCATGAAACTGAAACTGCCATTCCCAATTACTCCGGTGAAGTGTGGTGATGGGTTCGTCTCTCTAAATGGGAACATTAGGAGCTGCCTTTTTGCTGGGCCGGATGGATTTGTTCGACGCAACATACTCCAAAAATGGTTACGCGGTGTGTTCAAAAAAGTATTCTCGAAACCTCTGCACTTTAGGGCCATTAGTGGTCAAGTCTATACAGTGAATTCATCCACAACAGCGTCCCTTCCAGGGTGTGCCCACAACATTGAGGCTGTGAGCGCAGGTCGCACGATCTCCTTTGATATGGTGCCGGCCTTCGAGTTCTCCTGGCCACAATGGCCATTTGACGAAACTCCGGTCCCCCCGGAGATACGCGAGTATTGGCCCTGGTTCGCTATTCCGCAGAAAATGCCGAAATCGAAGAGCAAACTTTCATTCATGACTTGTGCCCCCCACTGGGAGCGCGAAATGATGAGGAATTCGCATAACTTCAGGAACGTGCTGCGTCTGATGAAGGGACTGCGGGACGGCAGCGCCGATGGGATGCCTCATCTTTCCAGCTATATGCTCAAAACCGTTATGCTGCACAGACTTAAAAATGTTGATTGGAAAAAGGATTTGGGCTTACTTCTACTAGAGATGTGGTGCCATTTGTTGGATCATCTTCGTTGTGGCAGACTCGAATTCTTCTTGGCCAGTAGACACAATATTTTGAGTCACTTGAAGTCCGGAGATGCAAACCAATGTAGAGACACTGCCTTGGCGCTTATGGTTAAGCTAAAGAATGCTAAGGACAGTGCCAGCTATACGGACTTGGCTAATTGTTTTAAAATATAACCAATCATGGATATCTAATTTTTTTATTCAAAACTCATTCAATAAAAGTGGATCTTTTTAAACATTCTAAGTCTTGCTTAATCTTATAATATTGGCTTAAGGTCAAAACATTTGACTATCTAAATTAAGTTTATGTATTGGGAAACAGTTATTATCGGTAAATATAATAAAATTTGACTTTATGGCGTAGAAATGATATTTATTCATAAATATGACCTCAGTAAGTCTTGAATTCATCGTATTTACATTCATTTTAGTTTTACGAATATTGCTCCATTCCTCAATGGTCATTCTCTCATAAGATCCATATTGGTACCAGATTTTGTCAACATTTACTTCAGCGATTATAAAAGAATGAGTTCCAGAATTAGTTATAAGCTTCATGACTTCTGTGATTATTTTAGAGCGTTTTATTTCTTTTGTAGCGATTTCCGTCATTATTTCGTACTTGTCAACGTCAGCCAACAGCTTTGATTTTCCCGGCCCGTCCCGAAATTGTTGGACGGTCATTTTCTTAAAGTCGATGGAACTTAATATAGAAACGTATTCATCCGTGGAATTAGGTTGTTTTGCATGTTTCTGAATCCAACTTTCAACCATGGCAAAGCGTTCACTTTCAGAGAAGATTTTTGAAGACTTCTGAACAAAATCTTTGAGACAATCATATCCTAGTTCCATTATTAAAGAGGTTGCGTCACTAACAGATCGCTTTTGAAGAAGCTGAAACAAATTCAAAGTAACGATTAATTTTCTACATCAATGTTAATAACACATACCCCAATAATACCATCCAAGAAAATCTTGTTATCAAGAAGGTAAAATCCCGCATACAATTCCATCAATAGTTCCGGTTTCATAAATACCGCTAATGTTCCAAGTATATTAGTGCAAAATTCTTCCACTTCCCTTATAAGCCACATATGAGCAGCTTGCACAATTTTTAATAAAATTGTGTAATCAAGGTTCTTAAAGAGCTCCTTTTCCTCTGTGTAAATAAAATTCAGAATTATTTGAAACACCTCGGGTTCCGTGTCCTCCAAACGCACTTCTCCCGAGTCAACTCCATCTCTTTGAAACAATTTTTCAAAGAACTCCGAGGTACGGGCCAGCATAAATCGGTGACAAGGGAATTTCGAATCCCCGACGAGAATGCATATATCTGAAAACAGGCCCGACTTAAGCATTTCCGCTCCGCGATGTTTCCTAAAAGTATGACGCAGTTGATACGGAATATATTTGTCTCAATTGGAGAAATGTTTACCAAGAAATCAACTTCATTTTAATTGGTTAGAGCTTTAAAGCAGAGTCCTTTGAGTAGAGCAGGTCTTTTATTTTTGAACTCCTCGTGCTGTGATCGACAAAGAACGAAGAATGGTTATAATGTGAACGAACGAGTCAAGAATGCAATTTTTATAATACGACCCCACTGCCAATCAGCTGTTTCTTTTCAAATAATTCGAAATTCAAAATTTGAATAAGTTTTCGTTTGTATGGTAAAGATTTAACTTGAAGTTACTTTTTATTTTTAAATAATAATTTATTTTTATATAAATAAATAGTAATAAAAATGATTATCAAAAAAAAAATATATATCAAACAACACATATCTTGTAGACTCTACAATGTAGAGGGTACTATAATTTTGGTCAAAAGTATGCAACGCAGTAAAAGAGACATCTCCGTATATGTATATGTATATTCTTGATCAGGATCACCTTCTATTTCCATTCCATATCGTTTATTTCATAACGATCGGCCGACTATATCTCATAGCTGCCATATAACTGAACGATCGGAAATGGTATTTGGTAAAAATACCAACTTTGGTATTTTTGGAGATAGAAGCTTGAAGTTAGCTTTCCTTTTTTTTTTTTTATCTATGCTGCAAAATGTGTACAGATTTTGTTTTAACTAAAAAGATTTAATAAATGTATGTACATTCCAGTTTATTAAGAATCCACTTATAATTTTCTAGATTTACAGCTATGAGTGTTAAATACCTTAAGAAGAGACAACTTTGGACTTATAAATACAGATGTTACTGTGCATCTGATTATCAAGGAATTACCAACGAATAAAAAGGCTAAGGGGCCCATGTGGGTGGGGGACAGTGTTATAACCGGATGCTGCTCTCGATGGTCATGTGTAGCTCGTTAAACTCCCTGAGATGGGATAGAATCGAGTCCCGCTCTTGCTTGTAGATTTCCCAGAACTTGAGGTACTGACTTACGTGCTGGAGCACTAAGTTACGAGCAAAGTCGAGGCAGCTCCTTACGTTTCGCATTCGCCTTTTGCAGCTTGTTAGGATCGACCTTAACTGCTGCTCGGGGTCGAGTTGGGCAATCACAAATGCGAAAACGCTCTGAACGTCGATCCGCACATCTCTCGGAAACACAACAGATTCTGTGGGCTTGTTTTTAGGAAAGACTATCAGGGAGGGCGATATTGGCATGGCTAGCTCCCAAGGGAGATCGTTGGCTTGGCTATCAAATCGGATGAAGTGAACCTCGGGGCTGCTGAGCAAAGCGGTGACCTGCAAGAACGCTTGGGATAGGACAGCAGACAAGGCGCAATCCGGACGTTGCATAAACACCACAGTGGTGGCGTTGGACTTCTGGAGTGCCTCCAGCAACAACTGCCTGTTGTAGACTCTTCCTAGATCGGAATTATTCCAGGATGCTGGTACATTGCGGTGAGTCCTTGGCAAGCTTCTGGCATAAAATTGTCGGATAAAGTCTTTGAGGGCCACGTATGAAAATTGATGTTGCTGAGGCATAACATAAAGAGACTCTTCTGCCACGTCCACGATGAAAACCTGAACTTGTTGATGCTGTTGATGGATACCGAGTTTTTGGAGGTAATCTCTATATCGTACGGAGTCGAAAATAACTACGGCGAGGGAGCGATTGTGGGCAGCGCGTTCCGATGAATATTGCCAGATTAGTTGGCCATATTTAGTGACCATTTTGGCAATCCCAATCTTCATAGCCGGTGTTCCGTGATGCGTGTGCGCCAGGCAGAGATTCCGAGAGTGGAGCGCCAGTAAGTGCGGCACATTCGACATTCCAAGCTCGTGTTGGTGACTGTACTGGGTCCACAGATGGCCCAGGTACTTATTAATCCGATAATAGTTAGCCAAGGTGGCTTGGTTTCGTGTCCAAACAGGATAGCAACTATCAGCCTTGTTCACCTCCCTATAAAGTTCTTTGGGCATTTTCATCAAAGAAATCCAATCGTCTGTTTTATGTTCCTGCCTGCTCCAGTACTCTTCGCATCCGTCGGTTTGTTTCTTTTGAGCCGTGGCCATTTCTTCGCCCATCACCAATGGCATGGCACTTAAATAATGTGGGTGGTTCATCCGTACACCCATGGCCAGTACTGGAACGTGTCTGGCTTTCATGGCTATAGTCATTGGGTTTCCATAGCCATTTGAAAACAGCGAGGTGTTTTTCAAGGTGTGTCGCACCCAGCGCAAAATGTCCAGGGTCTTCCAGTCCGCTGAAGTGCTGTTAAAAGTGTGGATTCCGTTCAGGCTATCGATCACTACTAATTGTGGAAGTACCGCCTCCGAGACCTTGAGCATTCTCTTTGCACTAGCGCCGAAATTGACCGTAAAACGGATATTCCTTTCCGGATCCAGTTCTAGCCAGCGAACCGCTGCCGCCAGGTATCGTTGATACTCCCTATCCTCGGGAGAGTTCAGCAAGCCTAGTACCACTGCGTCAGAATGCTTTCTGATGGATGCCAGCTCCTGGCTGGTATGAGCGCGATCCATCGGCTGAATGACGTAGTTCATAAAACGGGCGAGGTCCTCGAAGTTCCAGGCGCCCTGGTACTGCAGCATCTGTCTCTGGCCAAAGCGCACCACTAATGTTGGCCACTTATCAGGATAACCGCCGGCACCGACCACTCCTGGTGCCGGCATCAAGGTCCGGCTGCAGTTGCACAGCAGGTGCCAGCAATCGATGGCCCCGAAGTAGGCGTAATCCTGGTAGTAGTGGGAAAGACCGTTGAAGACAAGGCGCGCGCTTCGTGCTTCGGTGGCCCACGACACGTAGTAAAAAACCAGCGATATGTCATACTGCGACGCCTCCGCCCGAATCTGTGGTACGCTGCGGCTGGGGCACTCGCTGATGGTCGGCTGGTCGGGGGTTGCGGCCAAGGGCCTAAAACCGCAACATAATAAAAACACCAGGTAAGCAATTAATTTCATTGCACCGGCTAATTAAATTTCCAAAACAGATGTCGGCATAAAGCCTGGTCCCACTGCAACAGAGATGCGACACAGCAGCGGCTATTGTAAGAACATCACTGATTCAGTGGGACCAGATCGTAAACAGATCTCCTGTCCACCTCTATTAATTAATCACTTTTACTGTTTACTTTTTAATTAAAACTGCGTTAATTAAATTAGCTGTAACGGCAACGGCAGAAGGGCTATGTAACGGAGAGTAGCATAATCATCCAGCGCCCGCCAGAATCATCCAGGAACAGAGAGCACCGGAATTTATTGACCCGAAGAAGTTGCCAGTCTCTCAAAGCTCCATTTGGCAATTAAACAACAACAATTTCGAGTGTGGTTATGTTAGTTGTGTGTGTGTGTGGAATGCATATTTAAATCAACAAATCCAAAATCTGTTCAAAGCTGAGTGTATAATTTACCGTTTGGCCTTCCCTCGGCCGCGAGCAAGAGCAGCAACAACAAAGCCTCGCGTTCACTCACTCCCACACGCATACAGACGCACAGCGATAACCTGTGTATGAAGCAATCTCTTCAAATCGGAAACAAAAACAACAGCAGAAACACCCATTACGCTCCAATAAGTCAATCAAAAATTGAAATATGGGCCTGCTTCTCTCCCGGCTGTGGCGGATGTTCGGTAACGAGGAGCACAAGCTGGTGATGGTGGGGCTGGACAATGCTGGGAAAACCACGATTTTGTACCAGTTCCTGATGAACGAGGTGGTGCACACTAGCCCGACGATCGGCTCAAATGTGGAGGAGGTGGTCTGGCGCAACATCCACTTTCTGGTGTGGGACCTCGGCGGACAGCAGAGCTTACGGGCCGCCTGGAGCACCTACTACACGAACACAGAACTGGTGATCATGGTCATAGACTCCACGGACAGGGAACGGCTGGCGGTGACACGGGAGGAGCTCTACCGCATGCTGCAGCACGAGGACCTGGCCAAGGCCAGTTTGCTAGTTTATGCCAATAAGCAGGATCTGAAGGGCTCCATGTCCGCCGCGGAAATATCACGGCAGCTGGATCTCACCTCCATCAAAAAGCACCAATGGCACATTCAGGCATGTTGCGCGCTCACGGGCGAAGGTCTGTACCAAGGTCTGGAGTGGATTGTGCAGCGTATCAAAAACAAATGACACGCCTCTAGGTAGTAGCTAATAAATAAATCTAGCTGTCTAGAAACCAATTTTGATATACAAATTTTTAAGCGTTTCCAAATTGTTTGAAAAGTTGTTGCCAAGCCAATTTTATTTAGTGTAATATAACGACTACGACTAACGAGAAAGACCCCTCAATGATAAACAGAAAAAAAAAATAAAAATAAAAAAATTACTTGTATGGATAATGTTTAGGAGCTAAGCCGATTAACTACGATACTTCCAATAAAATTACAAAATAAACGTGTTTATTTCGATCATCAGTGACATTATTGAATACAGAATTGGACGTATTTTCCACCTCTGAGCATTGCCTTGTAATTGACATTGTTGGCTCGATTCGGTTGCTGTTGATGTGTGAGATTGAGATTTTTTGTACTCTATCGTCTAAAATAAATACATGGTCGTGTAAAAGTTAGTGTACATATAAATAAGAGGCAACGCCTAAAACGGTCTAAGATTAGGTAAAAACATTAGCATACTAAAATATAGCCACAAGAACAATTTGATCACAAAAAATAAAAGCAAAATAAGTGGATTGTGATATTTCATGGCCTAGGTGAGATTGCACGAGCTACTACAGCTCTTTAGCGGCTTGCCCTGGCCCAAGGTAATCGTATTTTCAGGCACATCCTCAACAGTGTTGGCGTCATGTTGGCGCTGCAATAGAAATTATTCAGAATATGGGCTATGAATGATGAGGATGTTGTCACTCACTTTAAGTTCAGTGGCCAGGCATCGAAAGGCGTCCTCTACGTTCATATTCTCCTTAGCCGAGGTCTCCATCACAAACAGGATCTCAGGTATGTATTGGCACATTTGGCGCGCCTCTTCGAAGTCCACCTCACGCTCCTCCTCCAGGTCGCACTTGTTGCCCACCAAGATAATCAGTACGTTGGAAGCCGTGTACCTGCGCACTTCCTCGATCCACTTTTGCAGGTTGGCGAAGGAAGACCGCTTTGTGATGTCATAAACTGGGGGCAAATATTATTAGATATCAGTAAACGCCACCGCACACCTTCAGCGGCACCTTGCCCTAGCAGATAAGGTGCTCCGCTAATGAAATCACTGCCAGGCAAATGATTTTAAAGCGTGGCGTACTGATAGCGCCCACAGCGCCCCTTGCCATGACAAATGGATGGGCGTATGCTCCGGATACGGACTCACCAATTAAGACCCCGTTGGCCGAGCGATAGTAGCTCTGTGTGATGGTGCGAAACCTCTCCTGACCAGCAGTGTCCCAGATTTGCAACTGTCGAAAAGTCAGCTATGAATCATCATCGGTTGGAAGGATGAAATTTTCAATAATACCTTGATCTGTTTTCCCTCCACGGCGATGGTTTTCATTGAGAAGTCCACCCCGATAGTGTTCCCATGGCGCTCTATGTAGTTCCCAGTCTTGAATCTGTCTACGATGCAGGTCTTCCCCGTTCCGCAGTCCCCAATTAGGACAATCTTAAACAGGAAATCAAAGTTCTCCTCGCTGGGAAGCGCCATCAGCGTCTGTGGGTTACGGGCCGTCATATTTTGGCCGCCGTTGTTGGCGCAAACTCGTCTGTTTTGCCTTTGACCGTTTGCTTACCAATGACAACAAAGAAAGTATAAATAAATTTAATTGATAAGCATAGTGATGTCGAACTGGCATAATTCCCGCCAAAACAGAAAACTGCGTTTTTATGGCTTATTAAAAACTCTGACTATCTTTTAGAGCATCTTACCCGCACAATTTTGCAAGGCACTTTTTAAAATTTGTTAGTTGATGGCCAACCAAATTGCAATTCCAATTGGATTACTATTCTTTTTTTTTAACAATATTTTAAACAGTGTGTGGGGAAAATCTACTATGTGCGCCATCGCTGGCTTACAATTGAACCTCACGATTCAAACTATCGGTGGGTTATCGATTGACTGGTGAAACATTTTTGCGCGCCATAAATATTTAAAAGATAATACTAATAGTCCTTTCTTGTTTTTCTGACATGAAAGGAAGTTAAAAAATATTTTATGCAAAACAAAATAAATTTAAATAAATTAAATTATAAATTTTTAAAAATTTTTTTTGTTTGTCATTTTTAATTTAATAATTTTTTTTTTAAATATATTTTGTTTACTTCTAAAATAAAAATAATAAGTAAAAAAATTTAAATTAATAAAAATATCCAACGATCATTTTTTGAGAATTATGAGAAAACGCTGGAAATGCAGGTCTCTAGACTAGAAGAAGTTGATAGGAATAATTAAATAATTAATAAATATTTAAATAAAAGTGAGTACAATTACAGTTATTTAAATTGAAAAATTATAAGTTCAACAATATTCATAAAATAAAATGAAAATTATATATTGAACGAAAATTATAAATAATAAATACGAGTCTACAATTATACTACTTAAAATTAACCAATCAGACGGCTTGAGTTCGTCCGCATATTGAGCTCCAGCCACTTCCTGCACATACTGCCAGTTTTGGGTTTAATTTTCGCAAGCTTAAGCTTTTTTTACACGCGCTTCGATATGTTTTTCGACCCCACTTTAAGTTAATATCACAATTGGTTTATTTGTTGTAGAATAGCCATAAAGTAGAAAGTAAGGTTTTTAGCTTTTAAAAACTTGAAACAAACTTTTTAATATTTTTCATTTGTTTTTTTTTTTTTTTATTCTTTCTTTGATATAACATTTAGTTTTTGGTTCGAATGACAAAGAAAATTTTCCAAAAGTTAAAATTCCAACACTCAATAGACACTTAAAAATGCGAATTTAGTTGGTCGATTTTCTCGTTATGCAATAAAGCTATTTATTTAATTACTCTCAAATGGAAAGCCCTAGTACCTGCAAATCCATGTGAATCGGTATACATAGCCCGATTAAGTCGGCCATCACGTAGGTCAGGCTTTCTGATAACGCCTGGGACTCCAATAAATTTTCACCACGTACCTTGCTGATGGCGCCATTTGACGCTAAAGAGCTACCTTTATGGGATTGTAAATATTTATGTGGGGAATTTCGAAAAATTCCTCAACTCTTTCTGTCAATTTCTAATTACTCTTCTGCCAAATAGAGACCTTGGCCCACATACAGAGTTCTGCTTCTGAAAAACGAAACTAGACTCACTTTCAAACCGCAGCGGAAGCGGCTGAGAAACATGTTCTATGTATCTCAAATAAGTTGTATGCAAATAAGTTGACCAACTGCTTCGATTGCCAAGTGAATTGGAAACCGCATCGCATCCCAGATGTGCCTGCGCACACGCACTGTCGCATTCATTTCACGAGGAAAGTTTAATTGCGCCCGGCCTAAGACGCTCTGGGGAGCAGAGTCTGTCCTGAGAACTTGTCCGACGATTAGGCGTGTTGATGATGGACTTTTTCTGCACTAAGAAAATTCAAAAGCCATTTAGCCATGCTATGGAAATTGCTGAATTTGAATTTGCAAAACTAAACTATTAAACGCCTTTAGAATCTGCCGAATCGTTTGAATCATTGAATTAATTACGACATTTGTGTGTTAAGATTTCACCAAGATAACTTCCTAATAAATAGCTTTTTCTATTTGGTAAATTCCATTATTGAAAATTCTAAATTATTAAATGGCTAGCTGGTAAGAAAACAACGAGTTTATGACCAACTCGATGTCAAATTATTTTTTGTAAACATTTGTGTCGGAAATTTAATTACTTGTCTAAGATGACCCATCTGCGACCCATTTTCCAGCCAGGAAAGCCCTCACGATGAGTCACTGGAAAGGTAGGAGATGCTCTTGGCAAGACCCGCTCCCACCTTTGGCACATTCTACCAGCTACTAGCTACTAGCTGGATAACAGGCAAAAGGAAATCAAACGCCAAATTGGCAACTTCTCACAGAGCCTAAAACACACACAGTCAAGACCAAGACCAAATGAATATACACCAGGCCTGGCATACTGGTTTGCCGTTTTGGCTGGCGGGTAGCTTCTGCCTCGGTGCCTCGATGGCTATATGCCCCCCGAATCCACCGATTTCCCCGGATTCTCGGCTTCACTTATGCATTGTAGTTTGGATCGTTCGTCGCTGCTTTTTATCGCTAGCCCCGACCGCTGGACGCTTCAGTTGAATTTCAAACGTTAGCGCGCGCGGTTGTTGGAACGTGTCTCCAAAAAAAGTCGAGAAAACAAAACATAAAGTCCATTGAGGCTTTGACAACCGATTTCCTTCAGTATATTCGAAGGACAGCAGCGTCGCGCAGCTGTGAAAAGTGAAAAGCGTGTTTAGCGTTCGCGTTGGTAAACAAAAAACACTGCGCCTGATTTCTGGCTGAATTCGGCCAACAAAAAAAAGGAAAAATAATTTCAAGGCGGAAAATAGGCCAACCCAGGCTGTCCAAGTTCATGTAAGGCTAAGACTCCTCCACGCGGAGAATTCGCAGAAAAACCCCAATTACCTAATTGTCATGCATCCGGCGTTAACGCTTGTCAACTTTCTACCCCCGCTCTTTTTGATTGATTTCTTCGGTCATTCGAGGCACGCACATCCACGTCAAATTGGAATCGAAATCCGCCGGACACTTGGCCACCACCACTTGCACTTTCCTCCAACGAAATTGCCTTTCGCAACAATTGTTTTGTATTTTTTTTGCCGCATCTCAAATTAATTATTCAGCACCATTACTTAAAAGTGCGGGTGCAACGTGCCCGTTAAAACGAAAGACTTGAGCAACGAACTTTTCGGCGTGTGCCGATTCGGCTGCCATCGGGAATGAAATAATCAATTTTATTATTCGATATGTAGTGCCAGCACTCACCTGCTGACCCAGTTTTCCGTTTCATTGTATTTTTGAAGTAAAAAATTAAGTAAATTTCTTTATGTCGCCCGATACGCGAATGCCACTGAAATCGTCTGAAACTCTCTTGATTCTGGCAGTTGGACGGAAGAGACGGACATCGGCTCGTCCATACTTAGCAGGCGCCAATTAAAGCTCAGCTGCACTAATTCGCCATAAGTTGCGAAGGCTTTTCTCCGTCTGCCGCAGTCTTTTTCTCCATCACTGTCCCTGTCTCAGCTCACTTTTCTCACCTGGCATTCCGATCCGACATTTGTTGCGTGTTTGTTATTTGTTTGTGTCTGCTATGTTGTGTGCCAAAGGGTAAATCGCCTGGAACAGGAAACAGGCTTTAACAAGTTGTTATACAAGTCATCTAGAAACAATATGATTAGGATTGTATATGTTTGAATATAAATTGATTGAATTCAAATGCAAATGTAAGAATTTAATAATTTTAGTATCAGATTTGAATTGTTTTTGGTTACGATTTTTTTAAATCATATGTAAATTTAAAATAAAAAGCATCTGAGCTTCGACTAGATTTTCTTGGCTTTTGATCCTTGGCCAGTTCGTTGGACAACATGTGTTAGTCCATTCATTGCCATAAGCGAGAGTCGCCGGCGAGGCGTCACTGTCAACTGCATTTGGATTGGTTAGGAGTGGACTCTGGTGGATGGATGGAGTGGAGTGGGGCATGCGGACTGGATATGCCAGTTGCGGTGCTTCCTCAACGCACATGCCCAGTTGGTAGCAGCCACTTCGCGTCCCCTTGTGGTTTTTAGCCTAGTTAGTGACCTAATTTTCATTTCACGTCTATCATAGCACTGCAATTAATCTCATCTGCATTTTGGTTTTATTTGCCGACCAGGCCCACCGGCTGTACGCCTGTCGGCCCAAAGTGATATCTAGAAATCGAGTTTGTTTGGCCAAAAAGTTGTATCAATGCCAATTTGAGAGAAATTTGGGGCTGCTTTTGGAAATATATCTGTGTGAGGGTATCTTAACGATAAATAGTCGGTAATGGTAAACATGAAATGCTCACAATTCAATTAGTTTTAACCACGATTGACACCGATTCCTTAGATATTAAATTCCTAAACCAATTAGAAACTAATGCTTGCATCTTATACATTTTTTAGTGAGTTTTTACGAGTCGCTAAAATACTCTCAACTATCGCATTTCAACTTCCCAAGGCTATGTCTTACTTACTCCTCACTCTTCTGAATTAGTGTCAAATTTAAAAAAAAAACATAGGCCAACCTTCCTTCAATTAATGCGCTGAGTTGGAGGCGGTGTGTGTTGAGTAGCCTGGAATGCTTTGGACTAGATACCTGGAAAACCTGCACCTCCCAGTTGGCCGTCAAATTGCAGCCTTTGGGAAAGTGATCAGCCCCTGGCCTAGACCATGGCCGGTCTCTAATGATCAGAGCCTTGGATGGCTAACGGATCGCCAACGCCAGAAACCTCCATCTGTATATACTGGCAACCGGCTGTGGCAAGTTCTCCGCTTAGTTGCATCATTGATGGTGCTGTAAAAGTGCGTCGAGCAGGCGATAGAGAGAGCAATTGATATCGCTCCATTTAGATTCTATTCGGGGTGAAATCTCCGACTGCCTCAACAGGTTTCCTTAAGAATTATAAATCAATTTGTTAACATGCTTTCACTGAATACACACACGCATATTGCCAATTCTCTTTCCGACTCTTATTGATGTTTGTGCATTTTAAAGACCGAACTGGCAAGTCGTAATCAGAATCCAAGCTGCCAAGGCTAACGGTTCAAGCCAGTGCAGCGGCTAAAACAATACCAGAAAAGAGCTTTCCCAAAAACTAAGAAAACGTTCGGCAGGCGCCAAAACAAAATGCTCAAAGCATCGAAACCAGTTGAAAAGATGAGAAATAGAGGGGATCTTTGATGGGGGATTGGAATGGCTGGACGAGAATGCAGAACGGGGTGTGGAGTACAGTTGGCGGGAGCATGTGTGCTCCACAATTACTGTTATACAACTGTTGAATAATGAAGGCCATTAGGCTGCAGTTTTTGCGGCTTAATCGGGAGCTAAACGGAGTTGTAGTCCAAGTCTAGACTAGTTTGTTTCCTAAGTCTTTTGTTTTCGGGCCGAACTAGAGGAGTAGATTAATTTTAAAAAAGTGCAGCGCCATGAGGTGTAATTTGTATTACTCCTGGTAGTATTTGTTGTCTTCTTTTTAGTTTAATATGTGTTAAATAAAGACATCACATAAAATACGCTATTAATCTGGAGCACTCTCTTCACTACCAAAATAGCCATCATCAATTTTTAATAATTGCATAACAAGTCCACAACAATTTTGTGAAAGTTTGATTGGAAAATAGCTGATGGGTTTGCCACCAACCATTTTGTCATTTAGGATGCATTTTTCCAATCACCTAAGTAACGAGGGGAGTTAGGAGCTCGCTTCTCCATTAAATATTATGATACATCTGAGAGATGTATTAAAGATTAAAAGTGACAAGTTAGCGAATTATTTGATTGAATTTGAAGAGTTGTAACTCTACTTTATTAAGTAGTTTTTTGGTAAATGCTGCTCTCTCTGCATTAATCATTATTACCGCCATTTTAGCACCTGATCTCACATGAAGATGGACTCTGATAAGTTAAGAAAAGACCTCCTCCTTCTGGTTTGGCTGCTGTCATTTGTCTCCTTATGTCGAAACACATTGGCGGCTAATCGACAGCCGGATGCTGGCAGGAATTTGGATTTGGCAGCACAGCTAGCGGATGCGGAGGCCGAGGCGAGACCAGACTACGCTGGAGACTCGCCAGACACGCCGCACATACGCAGAAAGCGTTTGATTTGGATTACGGATGATGGAAGATTGGCCCTGCCCCCGGGCACTGCTTTGACTTTTACTCCAACGATCTCTATGCCCCTGGTGCGGCACCCGCCTGAGGGTTTTTTCTCCAACCTGACCATCAGCTTCCCCGTTACCAGTACGTCACTGAAATCCGTCCAGATGTGATTGTTCAATTAACTCCATTGATATCTATTCCCCGTTTGACAGTTGACTTTGACAAGCTGGGACTGACGGACAATCAAAATCCTTTGGGAGATCTGCCACCGTTATTTGCGCGCTCCTTTGGCCATGAGGCGGGTCACATGGTGGGCGAGTACGTGGCCAGATATCTGCATGTCCAGCGAAGGAAGAGGGATCTCAGCGAACAGCGGAGTAGAAGCGACGAGGATCAGCCCTTCAAGGTCCAGGAAGAGGGTCCAAAGTTTCCGGAACTGCCCGCTGGACTTCAGCACATATTTCATGGCGGAGAGAGGGTCCTGCTGTACGGTGTAGTGGAGGACTTTCTGTCCACCTTCGGAATGGATGGCAAGGCTTGTTTGCTGCGAACAATCTGCGAGATGCACTCCCGTAGTCTCGAGAAGTTTGGCGTCTTTGGTGAAATTTCAAAGTTGTTTTTAACGTATGTTACTAATAGTTTGATGGGAATTTGATTTAAATTAATAGATTATATTTTTCAGGGTGACTAAGTCACCGTTTGCGGATCTCGTTCCCGATTATGTACAAGCGCAGGAAGTCGGCGAAGGAAAGCAGGCTCCAGGCGAGTGTTTCCCTTACTACAAGGCCTGCCCGAAGAGCATATTTAAAGCACTCGCCAGCAAATACAGCAAACCGGCACCTGCGACAAAGACGAAACATCCGAAAACCACCGAAAGACCCAAGGGAGAGTATTACGAGCAGCAGGTGATACAGTTGCCCGTCACGAGGGATCGGGAAAATGATGTGTTCATGTAAAAGAAACCTCCTCCTCCGACAGCGACTCCCATTGTTGACCTCGTCTAGTTTTTAGGTTTAAAGTCACTTGTTTGTAATTAACGCGTACTAATTAATTTATTATTATTTATTTGATTTACTTATCGTATTTATTGTTAGCTTTAGGCGTTGTTAACTGCTTAGATTCGCAGCTTTGTTTGCGTTATGGCCTGTAAATAATTGCAATTGTGGCATAATCCTTTCCTCCCCCAATACACGAAAGCCCAGACAAATAAATAGAGAATAGTTCCGATTAACTACTGTTTTCTCGCAGCCGTTTTTCTTAAAAAAATGTGTAATCCATATCCGCGGACTAAGCTGCGTATACGTAACACGAGAATGCTCTTTCCCTACATTATACCGAATAGGTTTTTCAGGTGGTCTACGTGGATGCAGTTCAAGTAGTAGAACGTGGCCACGTTTCTGGCAATGCTTTCCAGCTGCACAGCACCCCGCATCCAATGCTGTTCCTGCCCACCAAAGGTCATGTACTTTTGCATGGCTTCGTTGTAGGTTATTTCCTTGTGGATATTGAGAAACTAAAATAAAGTTATTTCAATGATTAGGTTTAAATCAACCAAGCTATAATCAATAAGAATCACCTCAATAAAAAGCGTGGCCAGGGTGAGGTTGCAATCGCAGGTGGCATTGTATCGCAGTCTGTAAAAGTGCAAGCCCTTCAGGACGAATATATCGGAAAGGTCAGGGATGTTGTTGCCGGTGCCGATGCGAAGCAGAAGGCGAAGCACATTCCGGTACTTGACCATCCGCTCGTCCTGGATGCCCTGCATCCTGGGCACGTAGGGGCAGAAGCTGCGTCGGTCGTACTGCGGATAGACCTGGAACAGAGCCAGCCAGTAGATGGTACTGCTGCAGCAATGAAGCCATGCCGGACCCGAAGGCACAAAGGGGGGCAGTGGGTGCTCCGCAAATTCGAATTGCATTGCAGGCAGGAAGACGAAGGACACCATGCTGGGCATGCCGCCAGCCTCGCGTTTTTCGCAGGCCAGAATCTCGTGGAAGAATCCCTGATCCCCAATCTCATGTGTTCGGTAACTGAGTTTGTACTGCACTCCGCTGGGACAGTAAATCGCGTCCAGTTGGGCGATGGTGTCCCGTAGATTTCCTCTCAGCAGAAGCTGGATGGTCTCTGGGTTCACATAGCCGTTGCTGATCATGGGGTGTGAAGTGGGTGCTAGTAGATTGATGTATCCTGGCTTTAAGGAATTGAAAACAGGAGTAACTGGAAAGGGCATATGGAAGCGCAGGTACTGCTCAAAGTCCAAGGGAAAATCTATTTTGGAGCCCCTGTAGAAGGTAGCCGTAGTCAAGAGGTTCTGGAGTATGTACTTGTACACCATGTCCTTTTCGGCCATCGCTTCTGTCAGGATCTGGCATATGGCCTCCGCATCCATCAGCCAGTCAGCGTCACTTGCATCAATCTCCCCGTAGTCCGAGATTATCTTGATTCCGTCATGAAAGTACGAATGTCCTTCCGGCAAGTACATTGCTACTGCTCCTTTATATTTACTCTGCTCCATTGTGGAAGTATCCCCGGCGACTGTGCGATGGCAACTGCTATGGTCAGCATACCTATACGATTTTTTAATGGGTAACTTAATAGGATGTTTGTTTACGTTTCGAACACCAGTTGTTCTAGTCACTAGATCCCACGATTTTCATAAGTGTCCATCGATGTTGATGTAGTTGTGAATATGTATTGATATTTAAGTAGATTTCTGCAGCAATGATACATGATTTTTATTTTATTCAGACTTTTTCATATTTTTTATAGCTATATTTTATGTGAGATATTTTTTTATACAACTAAAGCCTATATCGTAAATTTAAATTTTAAAACGAAAGCTTTAAACTTCTTGTTAGTGAGAACATGGCATTTTTACGGAGAGCAGGAATTTATATCGTATAAGCTATCTAGCGATGTATTTACAGCTGTTCTCTTTTGTTTCGCCTGGTCACACTTTTGTTTTGGTTTACGGGCGATTTCTTTCGGTGTTGCGTTCTGTTCTATTATTTATCAAATTCTGCACTAACACCTGCTCCTGGAAACCGCCGAGGAAACTGAAAAGATATCGGTGAGTGCATCCCGACGCGGAATTGTAGGCGCCCTGAGCCAGTAGAAACTGGATGCTCCTTGGACAAACCGGCCACCGCATCACAGAACAACAACAAAGTGCAGCCGCTGAGTCAGGCGATGTGCCGATTGAATTGGATTATCACGATATGGGCCTCTCAATTGCCTTTCAACCGGCGTTGTAGTTGTTTACATAGCGCGGACGTGGCGCAATAAATTTTTAATCTTCTGCGGCAACCTGCTGATTAAGATACTCATGTTTCAGTAGATAACTTGGCGGTGGCACTGGTGACTGGTGTTGACACTGGATTCCGAAACTTCAGCGCCATGGACAATGCTGGGGAGTCGGCCTCGCCGCCATCGAGCAACGAGGCAGCGGCTGGATCACAGAGCGAAGCCTCCGAAGAAGAGGAGTACCTGGATAACAGCATCGAGCTGCGGGGATACCTCAGCAAGTGGACCAACTACATTTATGGGTGGCAGCCCCGCTACATTGTCCTGAAGGATGGCACTCTGTCCTACTACAAGTCGGAGTCGGAGTCAGATTTCGGCTGTCGGGGAGCCATCAGCCTGACCAAGGCCACAATTAAGGTAGGGCATTCGTCAGAGAATTAGAGGAGGGAACCCGCTCCAGCAAGTGTTTTCAATTGGACTAATAAAAAAGTAATGGGCGTGAGTGTGTGCGCATGTGTTTTGGTCAAATTAACCAAGGCAAACGCCTCGATGGCCACGACCCCAGTCCTCGATTCCATTTCAATGCCAATTCCCATTCCCATTTTGATTCTTATTTCGATTCCCATTCCGAGCCACACAATCAATGCAGCGCAATCAATTAACGTTGGCCTGCTGGCGGTGACGAAAATAGACCAAATTGAAGTCATCGATGTAAGTGGGGCACCCCTCTCCTTGGCCCGCGACCATTAATGCCTCCGGCCGGACTGTTAACAGGAGGGCGTGTTGTTTCTGTTCCGGGAGGGTGTTTCACAATGAGTGTGTACTTATCTATTTATACTAACGAAGCTGCCAAACCAAAAACTGTGCTGACTCACACGCAGCGCCCGTTCCTGTAATTCGCACTCATTTTTGACTTTGATTGCGGTTGAACTCTGATGAGTACACATGAACATGGTAGAGCTGTCTGCGATAAAATAGGAACATTCAGTGATCCAAGCTGAGACGATAAAGGGTCATTTTTGTTTTTAGTACTTGGCATTCTCGAGATATTTTAATATATGGCTTTAATTTAAGCTAATATGCATTTATGCATTGCTCCTCCCCAGGCCCACGAATCTGATGAACTACGCTTCGATGTGGTGGTCAACAACCTGAACAACTGGTGCCTGCGGGCGGAGACTTCCGAGGATCGCATGCATTGGGTGGAGGTTTTGCAGCTCTATAAGGAGGATACCGGCAGTACGGATACTACATCATTGCGACGTCATGGCAGCACCATGAGCCTGCAGTCAAACACCATTTCGCTGACCAGTGGTGGTAGCTTGAAGAAGACCCAGCGCAATCTACGCGAAAAGGTCGGCGAGCTAGAGACCTTTAAGGATATCCTGTTCGGCCAGATCGAGACGTTGCAGCGCTACTTTGACGCCTGTTCCGAGTTGAACAAAAATAATGCCCAACCTCTGGATTTGGGCGATGGCCTTAAGAGCATTGATTTCAAGGCAAGTCATTAGGTAATGGTGTTGCTGGTTTCTTTCATATTTGACTTTTGCAGGGGGAATCGATTACGTTTCGGGCCACAACGTCTGGAGTGCTGACGACTCTGCACCATTGCCTAGAAATCATTGCCGAAAGCGACGAGTCTTGGAAGCGGAAACTGGAGCGTGAGATTGATAAGCGTCGTCGCTCGGAGGACCAGAACAAGTAAGTTGACACTTAATATTTGAAATGTTTATATCTAAGCATGGAATTCATTTTCTTTAAGAAAATCACATCAAAATTTCAATTTATTTGGTCTACTTGTAGGAAGTTCAAGGACGAAATTGAGAAAATTAAGCGATTATCGTATCCTGGCCCAGATTTTGAGGTGAGTGCACATTTATTGCCGCTATTAAAAACGAAATCCCATTCACGGTCATTGCTGTTCGTATCGGGGCCAAACACGTTCCCACAAAACAAAAAAAAGAAAAATAAACAGACGTCGAACGCGAGAGTGGCGTTTAAATCTTGAAGCGATTTGCGTGCGATTCGGTTGTGTCTTAAAATAAACTCACTTGTTCGACGCTGTGCCGGAGAAGAGATTTCATCATACGTACGGAAAGTAGAACACGCCGTGCTATTATTTAAGCGATTTCGATTGAATCATTTTTTCGAGCGACACGGAGTTTGTATGTTCTGATCCTATCGCTGGCTGGGGGCATGCGATCCCTTCCGCATTTAATTGCTACTTTTTGATTTCCGCCCCGGATATCGGGAGAACTATTTGTAATTGTCCCTTCCAATTGCACTTTAATGGAAATATTCATAATTAGTTTGCCCAATCAGACTTGGGGGGGGGGTCGCTTGGTGCACAGACTCGACTTTGTTGGGCTTCTCGGTTCATTCACTTGGTGACTTGTTGATTGCTCAAGCGCAAAAGGTGGGCGTCTAGACGTCTTCTGTTGTCCAAGATTGACAGTTTGACGTTGAAGAATTACTTTGCCTCAATATTGAAGCCAACTAGGTTGACAAAGACACGATATTAGAAGGCATTGCTGATAGAACTCGGCTTCGGAATTAAAAAATCTTATATTTTATACTTTAAACTGTAAAAAAAAAAGAGTTTGAAATAAAGGTCACAAATATTATACATTTTGTAAAAAATATTGTTCAAATAAACTTGGGGTTTTTAAGCAAAACCCACTTAAGAGTATTTAAAAGTCCCTACTCTTCACTAAGCCGTCCCCCTGGCTTTGTGCCCGGCTTATAGCTGTTACCTTTCTGGCTTATGAGCTAGATTGGTCAGTCGGCGGTCAGCGATCGAGTCGCAAACACGTACGAATTATAAACAAATTTGCTAGGCAAACAAATCGTAACCGTTTCTTTTTCATATTTGTCGAGTCTTTCGATTGTGTGTGGCGCGATTGTGAAACTGCACTAAAAGACCCATTATAAATACGCTGCTGTGTGCCGAATACCGGCTCATGTTGCAAATCTAAAATCGCAGCACGC